CTCCGTGGAGCTTGGAGCTTTCATCCACGCCCTGCAGCACTTGACTGACGACAGTAATGGTGTCCGGTGGGCAGCTGGTAATCCAACGCTCCCGCTCCGGCTCAGAGGAACCAGAACTTCATCAAACAGAGACACTCATCTCTCACTGAAACCTTAGAAGGCATCAGAGACACCATCTCCACCTTCAGGAGCCTCTGTTTCCTCTGAAGACTGCGGTTATTCTCCACCCAAATCCACCTTCTACACACTCCACCTCAGACCTTAATTTGCCTTTTACCTTTTTTGTTTGTATTTCTTGAATTAGCCCCCCCCGCCTTTATTTATTATTTTACACCATTGCCCCTCATCCTCACGTTCTGCCGGTAGAAAAACCACCCTGAGGGTCGACAACATTAACAGACACCAGAACTGCCCTCTTCATCTTCTCCTCCTCCTCCTGTTTTTTTGTCTCACTCGTTACCTCAGCTTTCCCTAACAAGAGAACTTCAAGGTAGATTTCAGCTCGGCTCCATCCCAACACATTTATCAATGTCAGGGGAAAATATCCCTTTTGGAAAACTGACAAACCCCGGATCAGGATTCCACAATGAAAAAAAAAACTCTGTTGAAAGCCAGTGACGTTTCCTCGGCTTCTGCCACACTGACTCGATGCCAGGCTACGCAACTTATGTCATTCTTCTGCCGAAGGATTCACTAACGGTGACTAATAGTTCGTCCAGGCATAACTGTGTTGCCAAATGTCTAAATTCTTGCCAAAAAGCAATCGGAAATTAGCTAACGAGAACTACAACATCACAGTCACTAGGAGGATAATTAGTAGTTATGAGGATAATTAGGGTTGATTAGATCCTGGGGAAACTCAGGCAGCACGTTTACAGTTTCCTCTAGGTGCCAGTATGACAATGAGTGAACAGTGTTAAATACAGTATATAAATACACGGGGTCTTTGACTTGGATTAGCGTTCTATTCCTACATCGCAATGTAATTCGATTTTTGCTGTAAGTCGGAACTAACGTGCTCTACATAAGTACCTCTGTCGCTCACCTACGATAACTCGCTAGTAAAATCATAATCTAGGACAGGGGGGTCAAACATAAGGCCTGCGGTCCAAAACCGGCCCGCTAGGGGTTCAATCTGGCCCGCTTGATGAATTTTGAATTTTGCTTTGTAAAACTATATTTCTGCCCGCTTGATGAATTTTGAAAGTAAAACAAATATACAAACACTTCATGTTCATTATGCTTTGTAAAATTATATATCATTAAATATGATGGAATGGAAAAAACTAATGGAAACGGGGGGGAAAAGGGGAAAAACACAGACGTATCTTTATTTATTAAGTCATTATGTTCTGATTGTACTGGCTCAGCCCACTTGACGTCTAATCAGGCTGTATGTGGCCCCTAGGCGCACAAAAATGGTCGAAAAAAAAGGCAAAAAATCGTCTAATCAGGCTGTATGTGGCCCCTAAGCACACAAAATGGTCGGAAAAAAAGGCAAAAAATTCCAAAAAGTCAACAAAAACAAAAGAAAATAAATGTAGCAAAATCCATTGTATGGCGTACAAGCGGTGAATGTAAACAAAGCCCACGAAATGCCGGAGATCAAGGTAGTCGTAATCCGAGGACGTGCTGTTTATATTGGACCCCTATCATACACACAGACGCCACTAAATATGATGTAATCCCCTTATCCTGTGAATCTCCCTTTAAATCAATCTTGGCCTTGAGTCTTCTTCTTCCCTGTTTGTAAATGAAAACAGTGGTGCTATATGGATTTGCTGTTAGCCGCCAAGGTAAACATCCTGTCCGTATGGATAAATACGGCAACAGTGCCTTTAACGACTTCCTTTTTTTACGTTGCAAATTAGCCGTGAAAGCCACTGAGCCTGCAAATGAATGTCTTATTCTATAAATATTTTTTTGTCAGGTGAAACTAATTTACCTTTGATTGAACAGAAATAACCCAAGTGGAGATCTTTTAATTGCATATAAATATATTTATTTTTTATTTTCCTTTTACAACAAACCAATGCATTGGCTCAGTTACGCACACACATAAAATAGAGTATTAAAAATAAGTAAACTATATATAAATACGTATGCTAGAAGAACAAGAAACAGATGTAAAGTAGTATGGCCTTGTTTTAGGACCTTTCAGGAAATCCCCTCAACAGAACAAACAATACATTAACGTCCTCATAATTTGAATACGACCAAACTTTATGAAATAGTTTTGATTTTGACTGAGATTCACGTCAGTCTTTCCAAAGGCAGTCAATTAAACCAAACGTTATGCCAACCTTTAACATGTGGTACTTTCTCACTAATCCACAGTCATGAAATATTCTTTCTTGCAGCGTATGCAAGAAAACAGTAGAGTGTCTGATTTGCTAAGTAGAGATGAATTTTAAATTTTTCATTTATTGTGCATTTGTGTGTGTGTGGTTGTATGTGCATGTGTTTTTGGACTCTAGCGTCTGTCCAGCCAGAGATTATTATTATTATTTTTTGTCCCCCATTTTGCTGGACCTCTCTTCACCCTGACCGGCTCCCAGGGGCCCGTTGCTATGAGACACCCACACTAGTGGCCCCCAGCCTGTAGTATTTGTAGGTTGTTGCAGCTCATGGTTGTTGTAGAGTTGTTAAAAAGAAAAAAAAAAGTAGATTCCTTAAATTTACATACTTTTTTAGTTATTAGATTTTTTTTTTTTTTCTGTGAGTTTCCCCAAAAACAATATTCCTGAGGGACACACGCCCCTGTTAAAAAAGAAATTAAATACCCAACCATCTCTAGTTTATTTTCAGAGGACTCTCAGACAGCTTAAACGCAGTCATTAAAATTCACGCCATGCTGAAAGAGGATGAAATTAGATTGAAAAAGAAAAAAAAAAAAAAAAAAAAAAAAAAGTAAAGCGATGTTAAATGTTTCCACCAGGTTCGGGTCATTTTAGAGACTGACATGAAAATATTCCATGAAATTTTTCCCTCATGTCATACTTTTTCATCCTCCACATATAATGGCTCCAACAGGAGGGAAATCATCATTCTTTCTTTTCCTGTCGTTTACCATTTCCTCTCCTCCTACATCACAGTTAATTGTCAAGTAATGGTGGACAGATTGGTTAATCTGAGGTAATCCTGAGATAACGTTGATAGGTCTGACACTGATCCGTGCATTGATCGTGTGTGTGTGTGTTGGGTTAGGTTGGGGGGGGGGTACTTCCATTCACCAGTCTGGGTCACATTACAGGAAGGACTCCGTGGAGGGGCCCCTGCAGTTTAAACACGGGGCCACGCTACAATGCGAGGAGAGATTTTGCACTTCGACACTTAATGACAGATAGTTTCAGCACACGGAGCCAAAACAAACAGCGTCCACACACAGAGTTGAAGGTTTTTAGCCTCCAAATAAACCTGGACCGTGGCGATACTTCATTTCTCATCCACTGTGGACCTAGAACCTTCTCCTGACACCACCAGCACCTCTGCTGCTGCTGCTGCTGCTGCTGCGATGTGATTTTTAATCTTCGTCACTGAATCCCACCGACTCGTTATTCTTGAATCATATTTTCTCTACAGATTCCTGGACATGTAGTAAATCACCTTCTCTGGATCTGCTCCAAATCTGCCTGATCTATGAGTCTTATACAACTCTACATCTGTTTCATTTTTAGATTTATGTGGTTCATGAACTCAGTAGTAGGTAGCATTTGTTACCGACTCATCCTCATTGTTAGTTTTTATTGGCAACATTTACATATTTTTGCTATTTATCTGCCTGTTTTTTTTTTTAGCTATTTCTGACCCTAATGTTAGCTTTTTTGAGCTACATGCTAGGTAATCTTGTGCTCGTTAACTGATTTTAATTGGCTGTTCTTTAGCATTGATTTAAGTTAAACCATTTCTGTTCTGACACAGTTCTTTCTGGGCTTTTTTTCACTGATTATTTTAGCTATTTAGCTCTTTTTACCACAGTGATACTTAGTTCTACATCGTTGAGGATAATTTACAGGTCTCTGGAGCTAGCTTTTACATTTGTTACGTATTCTTGTGGCCAACTTATATGTTTTAATTGCTTTTTATAACTTTCTTTTCTTTCTGGAAATGGCTGTACATCAAGAACTCGAAGTGAATGTTTTGTTCTTAATTTGCGTCACTGTTTTTCCAGCAGTGGATTCAAGGTCATTTTATTCGCATTTAAAAAATATAATCGAATCTTTTGAAAGAAGAAGTAGTTCGACTAAGGTTGTCTCTGTGCTTTTCCAACGCCAAGACTGATATCGGTTTACGTTTAGCCAGGAAAAGAATGGAAAGAGTATGAAGTGACTCATCTATCAAAACACTTTTACAAATATCTTTTGTGTTTTTATATTAATTCAATGGTCGTGTGTCAACATTGGAATCTCTATTGTTCATTTAGATGTTTTTCTTTTTCACCTCATCCATCTGTCAATCCCGTAATTCCCGTTTTTACACACACTCACGCGCATCACTCTGTTAAAGTGGACCTTTATCAAGCTCTGATTGTCCACCCTCACACTGAGCAGCTGTTGCTTTGATGCTCTCAGAGCCCCTCTCAGATCATAGACCTGTGTCTCCTCCGACCGAGTGACAGAACAACAAACTGTTGTTTCTCTCCTGTGAAACTGATATCATCGCCTAAAGACTTCACAGGTATCTGTCCTGTGCCCTCAGGAGCTGCGGTATTCAAACACTGTCATTCAGTTACGGAGGATTAGCTCCACTCAAAAATTGGGACCCATCTCCTCTCTATTTCCACAACACGGCTGTTTGTTTGTTGCTGCTTTTGTCATGTAATGCTCTTCATGATGTGGCTGCTTCACCAGGCTCCTCTTTATCAGCTGTTACTTCTTTTCAAGAGCTTCTTCTTTTTATCTCGACCCTGCATTGTCCTCACTGACCTGACAGTGTGTGAATATCTATGTGTGTGTGTGTGTGTGTGTCACAGGCTAGCATGATGTTTAGCTCCGGCATCTTCTGGACGGGCCTGGTCTTCATCCCCATCACCTCTCTGGTCTTTGACGTGGCCTACAAAGTGTGAGTCTTCTCTTCTCTCTTTGCTTTGACTCTTCTGAAGAGACAGAAGTTTTTTTCTTTTTTTAAGTATTCAGGAAAAAAAATTAGGTAAAATATAATAATATTTTTCTTCTCAACTACACAGTGATATAATCACCAACAATCTTGAAATAATTAATGGGATTGATATTAGCCTCAAAATTGCTATTGATATTATAGCTAACGCTGACCATAGATGAATTATTTTTAATACACAAAACGATTTCCTTAATAGCTAAAAGTTATTCAAATGTATTGTAAATGTATTAAACACACTGAAACGGAAAGCCATTCTGCCTTAACAGTAGTCTGTTTTGCGAAAAAAAAAATCTAAACCTAGCTAAACATTGTATGTAACTGTTGGCACAAATAGCAAACTGTTAGCTGAGGTATGAAAATGTTATTAATTCAAATAAATATTTAAACATACCAACAAATTTAAATTTTATTTTAAAACATATACAAATTGTAATTTTTTGTTCTGAAAATAAGTCATGTAAGTTCTGCTAAATTTGTAGCAAAAATGAACTGTTAGCTAAGAACTGAGTCGTGACACGAAGTCTCATGAGCTCATCTCTTGAATGCAAACACATTTGTTAGACTTAAATAACCTTTTTCTAGCCCGCTCCAGAGGAGGAGGACCTGTCACGTGTTGGTATGTGACACAGTGTGTGTGTGTAATTTACAGGGTGAAGAAGGTGTGTTTCAAGACTCTGGTGGATGAAGTCCAGGAGCTGGAGGCCTTGTCCAAAGACCCTGGAGCCGTGGTGCACGGAAAGAGGTAGAAACACACAACACGTCACTGCTGCTGTCCATTATCATTTTGATGATGGACATAAAGGTTATGTATGCCAGTCAAAACCAATAGACATTTTCCATTTGGGTTCTGGAGAAGTAACAGTACATTATTAAGTGTTTAGAAAGCATTTCATTTGAGATATTTTCAAACCTTTTAAAGTGAGAACTCGGTCTTCTCATTCTGTAAAGACTTTTAGTTTAATGGAAAAGCCAAAGCACACAGAAAAAATTGCTGTGGTTTTTATACACTACAGTCTTGAATCCCCCTCTTCGTTCGGATACAAAGGCAGCAGAGTGTATCAAACTGGAACTCCTGCTCTGAGTTCTGGACCTGTCATGGTTCTGGATGTCTAGTGAACCTTGGCAGGGTTCTAGAGATATGTAAGAGAGCAGCTCTGTCCAAACTGGGACAATTATCTGCAGAGCTCACAGAGTTGGCCGCTCCGCGTCTCCGAACGGCAGAGGTTCAAAATGATGCCACACACCGCTTCATGTCATCAGTGATCAGCATCATCCGAAAGAAAACAGCAGTCTGATACTGTCCCCGCAAGTCTGCAGCCTCTGACTAAAAGTCTAACTCAGCAACCTGTGAGGACAAATTATCTTTAACTCCTTGAATCCTGGAGGAATTCCACCCATATTCCCATTTTCTTCTCCAAATATTCCACTGTGGAACAGAGAGAGAGAGAGATCTTTCAAATTGCTGCTAAATTGCGGTGTAATGTCAGTAATGGTGTCATTGGAGTAGATGGGCACCTTACATAATTTTTTTTAACCTTTGCTCTGAAGATTGAACGTTTTCATTTTAGAGCAGCCCATATTAAAGCCATAAATTATAATGAAAAGGATGCAGTGTCGGCAGTTCAGGTCTGTTCGGTTCAGAAAAATCTAAGACGGAACCAGAAGAAATTAACACCAATTCTGCGCAGGCACATTAGTGTGAACGCATCAGTGTGAATACATCAATGTGAACATGTTAGAATGTGATCTCCTGCTGGCTGAAAGTGATCCTCCTGCCTGGACACAGTCCCAGAGACTGACCTACACACACGCACGCACGTCGTTTGGAGTTAAAACACAGATGTATGTGTGATTATACCCACAGAATATGTGTAGGGACTGTGTGTGTAGAGGCAGGGGACTCTCGTACATGTTATCTTTGCTGAACCAGAGTGTGAGCAGGAAATGAACAGCTTTTAAAACAAAACCCTTGTTTTGTCTCCGGTGAAATATGTCCCATTTTTTTTGGACATTTCCAAAGCAATTCCGTCAAATGTTGGGAAATACCTTTCAGTTTCAATTTTGTCTCACTGGTAAACGTACTGTACAGCTATTTTTTAGGGACTTTTTTAAGGTAAAGATGTAACTGTTTTTGTAGTTCTCGCTACTATTTAGTCAAGTAAAAGTTATATTTATTGACATAGCATTTTTATTTATTTAATACCAACTGACTCTTTTAAATATGCAGATTTAAACCCATCAAATACCTGTAGTAGAACATGTACTAACTAACATGTACTAACATGTAGTTTATGAACCTTTTTGAAGTAACGTTCCCTACAGGTCAAAAGATGGAATCACAGTTGGATATTTTCACTCTGACTTTTCCAAACTATATTAATGTTTAAATGATTTTTTGTAGTCACAGTAATTTCCATTTAAAGTACAATTATTTAAAGACATTCCTGAAGCAAACATTCATTTTTGACTCTGACTGACACACCCTGACACACACACACATCTTTTTCTCAGTGTGAGGTCATTCATTGGCTGAGATTTTCTTCTTTTTCTTTTTTTAAATTATGACATGAAACATTGAACCAGGTGTCAAGCCCAAAGAAGGTCTTTGAATTTGTCTTTGCAGCTTAATAAAGACACGCACACACACACACACACTTTGATCCGCCGCCTTAGTCTCCAGAGTTTGGTGTTTGTAGCAGCAGCAGGTAAAGCAGTTGGCAGGTCCTTGGACTCCAGAGGTGCTTGGACAGAGTGGTGATGTATGGGTCATTAAATCTGCCTGTGGTGCTCAGCATGCTGCTAACACATGCCATTTTCACCCTCTTCCTCTCTCTCTGTCTCTCTGTGTGTGTGTGTGTGTGTGTGGGTACAGTCTGACAGAGAGAGCTCAGCTCCTGAAGAACGTCTTCAAGAAGAGTACAGTCAGTTTGTACCGCTCCGAGTCCATGCAGCAGAACCTCCTCCGTAAGTTACACCTCTTTTTTTTTCTTCGCTTCCTTTTTTTTTCTTCTTCTTCTTCTTCTTACTGGAGGCAGTTAGGTTCTCAGATTTATGGGATGTGCTCTTTCGTCGGTAGAGCAGATGGCTGTTCCTCCTTTTGACACACACTGGATCTCCAGAGAAGCCCATCCATCAGTTCATACTCTCATGCTCATCCAACGCTTCTTCATAAATATCTGTGCGTTAACCCAGGGCAGGGTCAGACCCAGGACTGAGAAAAACACAGACCTGTCTACAGTTACATCCGCTTAGAAATACAGAACAAATTTAAAATTACTTCTCTGTTGGATGTAGTAGACATTCTTGGCGCTGTTTCACTCAAGAACCCTCTTTGTCTATCTGTAAAAGAAGACAGTGATGATATGTTGTCTTAATCTCAGCGTAGAAGCTTGTTGTCTTGCTTGCTAACAGCAAACAAATATATTAACTATGAAGAAGCACATAAAAAAATAACGGATAATTTTTTTCTGGCATTATTATGCCCCCCTAATATTTAGAATCTTTAGAAACGACTTTTTTCCTTTTTTCCATTTTTGTTTTGTTTTGGGGTTTTTGTGTGTGTGTGTTTTTCAGTTGTTTGTCTGATCAGTTTGTTCTTTGTTTGTTTCATAGGTGGGGGTCAAACTTGTGTTGTGTGATTCTTTCTGTTTGTTTTGCCATTGCTCAGTCTTCACCCTGTTTACATTTCCGTTTTCTTTCTGTAGCTCCTTTATAGACGCCCCCTCCCGCTGCTACTATGCTTTCCCTCACCACTTCTCCTCCGTCCTTACTTCTTCCTTCTGGGTTGAGTTCAGTAGAGCCAGATAACAGTGAACAATGATGAAATGTTGCAATGTTATTCCCCCCCACTGTGCACTCGTCCCAGCCGCCTCCTTTGAACTTGTCCGTTGGCCTTCAGGTACTGACCCTGTCATATGACACCCGAAGGTGAGTCGGGGGCTCAAAGGTCAGAGAGGGACCCGGTAGAGAGGTTTAGGCGCAGGATCGTAGTGTTGTTTCGATGCTACTGCTAAGTTAAGAAAGAAAATGTTCAAATGTGTACAAATTGTTGTTGTTGTAGAGGATGTTGTAAGACTTTATATGAAGGTACGCTGATGAAGCACTACCTAACTGCTTATTAACAAAACATTTAAAAAAACATAAAAAAATAAAATGATCTTTATTTGTCCTACAATAGGGAAATTCCTCTGGCAATCAAACCCAGGCCGTTTTGTATGTAAGGCCGGTGTGATAACCGATACACTATGGAACCATAGTGTGATAACCGCTACACTATGGAACCATTATTACACAAGGCTATTTCTAAACAAAACAGATTTTACACAAAACATAAACATTTAGGTTTAACATTTTTTTACAAAATAATTATTTCGTGAAGAAGATGATGTCAAAATTTGTATTTTGTGACAAACAGAAGATTTTTTAAGAGATGAATTGGGTTCAAAGAAATCTATAGCAGAGAACAGTCTCCTCTAAGGCTAAGCTAATATAATGCTTAATTACAATAGAAATTGGAGGAAAGTACTGGAATTGTTTTTTCTAAATTGTGATTTTTATTGACTTTTTTTTTAATGAATTGAAATTCACCAATAAATCTGTTGATACAATAAGGTTACGAAACAAAATATTAGTTATTAGTTATCAAATTTCTGCTTTTTTCTAATAATGAAGAACATGGAGTATAATTCTAACTGACATGTTAGTGAGCAGCTACTCTAACGTTAAAATGTACACCTTCATGTGAAGTCTTACAATTCTGTTACATTTGATTTTGTTTTGTTTTTTTCTTTTGGAGAGATGTGCTTCTTTACTTGTAGTGACTGAAGTCACTCAAAAGCCTCAGTGCCTGGTTTATATATATATATATATATATATATATATTCTCAACACTGTGATCTCGTCTCTTACATCACGCAGCTTAACATCTACAGACAGCAGAGTTCTATAAACAGGTGATAGCTGCAGATCACATCAGGGGAAATAAAACTTTATTGTACTGTTTTTTGTTTTTTGTTTTTTCTAATCCAGATGTTTTGATCAGTTTTGGAGGAATCTCTGCTGTTAGGCCAACATCTGGCTTTTTCAGTAGCGGCCATTGGAAAAGCCCTGCTGGGAGTTGTTTCCACATTCTTAGCTCTGTAAATTAAATGTACTGTAGCATCTGCACGAGCCCATGTTCTTAACAGAAGAGGGGATTCAGAGAGCCAGTGGTCAATGTTTTTTTTTTTTTACGTCTTTTGGACACTGTTGAAAAGACAACACTATATTTAAATCAGATTTTATGTCACCAAGTTTGACCAATTGAAATACACTCCCAACAAGCACAGAGTAACAGAAAGTGTCATCAGTCCTACGAGGCAGAGAAGCACATTTTAGACGGTAAAAAAAAAAACCTTACTTTATGTTATTTGCTTAGATTTAATTTGTTCGTTTTGGTTCAAATTTGTTTTCCCAGACTAAAAGTGAATCGTTCATTAACGTGTCCAAACTCCTGTCCAACTGTTTCAGACGGCTACGCCTTCTCTCAAGACGAGAACGGAGTGGTGTCTCAGTCCGAGGTAATCAGAGCCTACGACACCACCAAGCAGAGAACCAGCGAGTGGTGAGCCCACGGCTCCTCCTCCTTCACTGGCCAATCAGAAGCCACAGTGGCCGTTTAACAGTGGTGATGTTTGAATCTAAAGTGAAGTGAAGCGCAAGGTGCTGGAGGATGTGGCTCCAGCTTTGATGGAGGATTTTGGGACATGATTGTGAAAAAGGACAGAGGAAAGTGATGTTTAATTAAGCTGAAGAAAAATGTCTAAGGTAAGAACGGTGAGGAACAAAAAGAACCTTCACTCTCACTATCAGCTGTAATCGTGTTTCCAGACATAACAAGCACTGTGCTTTTTTTTTTTTTTTTGCTTTTTTTTTTAAGCAGTCTGAATTTCTCCACTCTTCTGTCAATGTCAACGAAAACCGATCACCCAACACTGAGCCGAAAATCACTTCAAAATCTAAACCAAACACTGGTATAAATGTCAAAAGCACTGGCTCAAGATTTGATTTTTTAGATTTGGAATTGTGAGAGAGAGATTGCCAAAGAGCAGTTGTGAATACAATCTTTTACCTATTTGTGAATTAGACAAAAAACTCTCCACCAAAAACAATCTCCCTCCTGATTCAGTTCCAGCTCTGCCTGGACCTCTTCGCACGAGACCTGTCTTTCATATTCTTTAGTGTAAGGCCTTACATTTCGCTCACGCCTCTCTTCATATTATTTTCTAAGTTGAAGCTACGCTTCTGTCGTCGTATGTAGATATCGTGCCTGGTGTCGTTTCGTTTCGAACACTTCTCGGTAGGAATCGCCTCTGGTCGTACACTGTAGCCCTGTTTATGTTAGCGTTTCCGCGCCGAACTGTCACTCCTGAGGAACAACAGCATTCCACACTTCACTTCATCTCCGATCTCACGAGGTGCCTACGTACAACTCTTCCCTCATAGATGAAAAACTTAGCCAAGAATTGTTTATCCAGCTTTAGCTTAGAATAGCGCTAACACATACACACACACACACACACACACCTCTGTAGCTGTGAGGAACTTCTAGATTGTATGTAAAGAAAGAGACATTTCCTCCAGGTCTCACATTTGAAGAGACCTGTAGTTTTTATTCACAACCAGTAAGGCAGTCTCCAAAAAGTTGTGGTGCCTTCTCTGTCCTAGGAAAAAGGGACCGTGCGATCGATGTTATCCCTGTGATTGCCCTTAAATTATCACAAAAATTGACAGTTATCAAGGAATAAACCTTTGTTTTAATTGGCCAAAACATGAAACAGTCAAAATTTAAAGTTAAAATTCATGCAGTGTACATAATGATGCCGGAAAACGATGAGATGTAGCAGAAAGGGAAATTAGTAAATCCATGGTTCAAATATGTTCTCAAAAAGGGATAAACCATGAAGACAGAACCTCTGTCTCCCTCCACGGTGTTTCACTGGTACAATGTCAAAGCTACAGAGGTAAATGAAAGGTGTTGTTTCTGCGTCGTTGAACGAACCGCGACCAAGTCTTCGTTCAACCTCGGTAAAGTGTTTTCCCTTGAAATGGAGATTTTATCCCTATAACATAAGTGCCATTAGCTTAAGGGAGAAAGACAAAATAGCCAGGAAAACTCCACGACATTATCCAAACTACTTTGTCTCTCTAGTTATTTCGTGGATTTGTATTTTTATATTGGAGATGTATGACTTTTGCATTGACTCAGCTTTGTAATGACTCGTCTGTGACTCTCTGTTCAATTCTTTGGTTTGTCTTGGCAGGCTAGCGTAGACTGAATGAGGACGCTTTGCTTTTCTTAAGGGTCTTGTTATTATTATTATTATTATTATTATTGATATTAATATTGTTATGAGCTTGAGTTAATAACGACTGACTACTTGATGTTAACTTTTGTGCGTGGTTGTGTTCTTCTCCCTATGGGAGATCAGATTTCAGACAGTACAGGTGTTTGTGTGTGTCTGTCTGCGCGTCACTTTTTTTGCTTGCATGTGCATGTGCTGTGTGTGTGAGATCAGTGCGCGTGTGTGTGTGTGTGTTTTCATTAAGAGTGACCTGTTGGTATGTGTGTGTTTGTCATCTCTAGTAGGGACCAAATCCTGCTTTTATAACCATGTTTGGGGGACCTATCACAAAGTGGGTACAAACCTCTGGCTCCTGTGATTACGAAATGCCAAGATATTGTGGTCAAAGTGTCGCTGTGAAACTCGCTAGCAAAACATTACCTTGACGCACCACATGGGGCAGTCTGTGCTTACTCCAGTTACACTGTCTAGAACAGGCGTGGGCAAACTTTTTGACGAAAGGCTAAAATGCTAAAAATGCTCTTAGCT